AAGATGAGTTTATAACAAATTTATTCGAAACTATAAAAGAGTTTGTTTTGCAAGACTCCAGTTTTATTATATCAATAGGAGAAAAAAAATTATGACTGATTTTAAATTGAATTTTTTATTTTATCATAATTAAATATTTTCTCTGTTTATTATAGATGTGTCAAGTGAGTTTAAATGGTCAACCGTTTCTTGTCAAAAACAATCGGCCTTATTGTCGTTTACATGGTCGTTAATAATATTTTGATTAACTTTAATGAAAACTTATAGAAAATATAACCCTTGCATAAGACAGATGTATTTTTATTTATTTTAGAAAATAACCCGAAGGAAAAAAAGTTTATAATTATATATATAAAATAATTATAATAAGAATTTTAATCTTGAATAAATAATACTTCTTTTTTTTTATTTGCTGATTTTTATATGCAAATATATTCGTGTTAGTTCATGACAGAAAAAAATACTCAGTGTAAGATTTGAAAAAGAATGTTTATTATGCAAATTTGTTCTTTTTTTCTGGAAGTGTAAAATATACTTGTATTTACAGATATGAGAGAGATATTCTCGTCTTTAAGTTAGTTTTCCATAACAGCAATATTGATTTTTATTTTAGAAACGTAATACTATGTGAATGGGTTTCACATCAAAAAAGAAAACATTTCTCATTTAATTTTTATCATTAAGATCATTATAAAAATCACGTCAAAATAAAATAGGAACATCTACTTATATTGTTGAAATTTGAAGAAAAAACGAAAGAAAAGTATTGTTTTCCAGAAAATAAGATCAGAATACCTTGTAGTTAGACAGATATCGTTTTTTGTCATTTATACAGAAGACATTGCTCATCCATTGATTTGTTTATTTATTGTTTGTATTCATTTATTTTACAGTTACTTCAACATTGTCTTTCTGTACAATACAGATGGTTCTCTTTTGAGTAATGCTTCTCCTATTAACTATAAAAATGGTCGTTATTCTTTTACAAATCTTCTGTCAATATTTGTTAACAACAAAGAGTTCGCTAAGTAGAAAAAAAAATCTACGCATCAACTTATATACAATAAGCAAATGTTTTTTTTTGCCTCATATAGTATCAATACTGGAATAGAACATTAATTAATGCATAATTTCGGTTTATAAAATTAGAAAGAAAATGAAGTTGATTAAAGTACAACTTCTAGATTAGATATTATTGTCGTAAAGTTTTTTTTAACTAAAATAGTGAGATCAATAACGATGGAATCATCATTGAATGAAAATAATTAGTAAATATTAAATACTATTTAATATATAATCGAAGCTCGCATGCGAAATACATAAATTTGAGAAAATAAATATCATTAAAGAGATTATTTGATGATAGAGGGAGAAAAAAATAACTATGTAAACGATGAGATAAAACAAAGTAGAATTCAAAAAATATAATGAGTAAAGAAATACTTCTTTTTTATTTGTTGATACTCATTTATCACAAAAAACCTAGAATATATCTTTCCATGATAGTCCAAGCGAGTACAATGTCTTGAATATAATACGATTCTCATTTAATATATGTCCATGAAATGTAAAAGATAACTATTCTATACTATTTATCTTGTAATTGATACTAATAAAGCACTCATGATTATACTGTTATATCAGCAATTAAGTCAATTGGAAGAATAATAACAATAACATGATTATTAAGAATATGAGATGTAAAGTTCGATCCAAAAGTAAATGACAATCAATACATAGTAGATGAAGTATGAAAGACAATAAAGAATCAAACGTTTGCGTTATTGGCTATAAGTTCAGTATGATTATGTTATAAATTGTTGTTATAAGATTTTTACTTTCAGTATTACATTCAATGTGTCAACTCGTTTCAATTGACACTCAAGCATATTCGAAATAAAGTTATTCATTTTTTAAACATTATTACAATTAATGAATTTAAATCTTAAAAGTGTATGAAGTATAGAAATAATGCTCAAATAGTTCTCAGTATCATAATGATCTTTTTTAATGAAACACCGGAACAAATGTTGATAAAGACATATTTTTTTCGGACAAAACACATGAAGATAATAACTCATTTACATACGTTAATATGTAAGCGACATGGGGATGTTTTTTTTTTCATTTGTGTTGACATAAGTTTTTTTTTTTAATCAAATATATGTCATAAAAGTTGAATAAATGAAACTTATCGAAATATATATTTGGCTTTAGGCTATTCTCTCCAATCAATGAAGAAATCAATGTTTTAAAAATTGTGTCATTGAATAGAATAGAAGTGTCGTACACAACTCTTAGCTTTGATAAAACTTATTCAAACTCAATAACCTAACTGTTGTATATTTTGTAATACATTATGTCAATAGAAAATATAGAATGGTCCACAATGTGTGAGAAGAGTAATTAAAAAAATCTTTAAAAAAAAAACAACATTCTTACTAATATATTATGTATTTACTATAGCAAATAAGTGTATTCAAAATAGAACTTGAAAAATTTTCATATTTACGTTTTAGTTCGAAAGTAACTGAGTAAAAGAACGAAATAACATAGCTTCAACAGAAATCACCTATTAATAAAGTAAAATCTCACTAATCTGGGTGCCATTGTGACTCACAGAGATGCTCAATCATAAGTGGTTTTTTCAGTTTCTGTTTTGTAATCTGTAAATATTCAGTTGTAATCGCACAAGATGATTTTTTGCTTCTGTCCAACAATTAGTTTACTTCAAATTTTTTTTTAAATAGAGGTAAATCAAAACATGTTGATATGATTTGATGTTATTAATTATTTACACAAAAACAACGATATATTATACCAAACGCTGTTGATACTGTCTCATACTGTTTTTTCTTGTTTTGTACTTACGTGAGTGAAAGAATATATGTTGCTCGCACTAGAGCAGTTGTAATTGCTCAAGAGGCTAGAAATTAGTACCCATATTTGAGAAACTCATTTCTAGCGAAAGTTACTTGAGCGAACTATGGTCTGATCAGTATAAGAAGATGCTGACATAGATAAATTTTATTGTCGTTATCAAAAAACTTTTATTTGCTGTTTAATTTTATGCTGTATCTCATATATTGAAATATCATGACTTATTTAGTCATTAAAAAGAGAATCTATATTATATGCTATTTTAAAACATTGTATGAGTCCGATGACAACTGAAAATTGTACCTATTTTTCTTTGTCATCAATATTTTTTATTTTTGTAAATGTTTGAATCTTTGGTTACGAGAAAGATTAGACAAAAAAAAACAAAGAAGATCACATTAATTATAAGGATTATCAACTAGATATTAAAGTATATGTTTGATTCGAAACAAAAATGGAAAATTTTCAAGATGAAAAAATTGAGGTATCGCATTCTCAATGATTAAATATAGCCATATCATAATCTCTCAATGATTTTTTTTTTGTTTTCCAGATTTATTTACAATAAAAAAATAAAACTGTCGAAACAATCATGTTCTTACAGAGTCTCATTCTTTTAGAAAATTATTCTTATTGTATGTTGAATAATTAGTAAATAAAGAATTTCATTTTCAATTATTTTTTTCTCTCTACAAATACTCGTAATCACAGACTGAGTGCATATATCTAACTTTTCATGTCATTGCAATAATAAAAATTACCATATGATTGTTTATATTCAAAACTCATGACTTAAATGATTGACTAAGTTATTTTCAACTCTATTGAGTTTTCTACTGTGCCTAGATTACATAGTCATACACTTGAAATGTTATGTTTGGTAAGAAACCAATCATCAAAATTGATCTTATGTTGTAGAAGGCTTCATTCAATGCCACTGATATACAAGGCTTCTTTAAAGTTTCTTCTTTTTTTTTAAAAATTTAAGTTGTAACATTTCTACAAAGTTTTCTAATAATAGAGTCACTTTATTGTGTCATTCATAGTGTATATCGTTGTGTACTGTATTTTTATTATATAGTTTATAAATAGAATGACGTCTACATATCATGAATTTATCCTACATTAGCTATCAACAAATATTTGATGTTAAATGGATACGCTATACATTTTCTATCGAATTTAATAATTGATAATTCGAAACTATAAATGAGACACATCACATTGAAAGATTTAATTGTCTCTAACGTTTGTTATGTGTTTCTGAATTATATGAGTTATTCATAATTTTATAAAAACAATGAAAAATTCAGTTTTGACAGCCGAAAAAAAAAGTTCACTGTTTTGACTAGTAAATTTTCGTGAAGTTAAGTAAGACTTCTTTGACGCACTTCTTTTCTCTTGTTATCGATTTGTTCTTTTCATCACAGCTGAAGATTAAAAATGTCAATAAAAAAATACAAAAAGAAAGAGACCAACAGTAAAAGTTTCAATTGAAACAACAAAAAAAGTAATCAATTGATTTTTCTTTCGCATTTTCTATGTTGTTCATGTCACCTTATTTGCAGATTAACTTCAATAACAAATCATTGTTGTCACAGAAAAAAAATTGATTTTTTTTAAACGCAAAAAAAAAAACGAAACATAGTGATGACTTTGTCAAATGATTCTAATAATAACATCTTTGAAAATGTACAAAGTTGAAGCACGATATGATTGATATATATATATGTATATATATGAATAGAGTTTCATTAAATAGGTAAAAAAAGGAAAAATAAAATAGAATTAGAAACACAGACACCAAAGTATTAATCGTACGACATTAAACTTAAGTAGTATGTCTCTGTATGTCACATTCAAAATTTTTTTTTTCATTTTTGTTTCGTATATATATTCATTTATTTTTAAGTGCTCAAACATACAATTGTGATGTACGTACGCAGTGTTTTTTTTCACCATGAACAACAACAAAAACGCTCTCCATTATTTTTTTTTTTCTTCAATAACATACAAAATCTAAAAAGAAGAAAAATGAAAGAAAAGCAAACGAAAAAAAAAGCAGAAGAAATCTTCTCAAACATACACAGACATTTATAATATTGAAATGGTCTTTTCAAATGCCAACATCAAATAAGATGTTTGTTGAACAATCGCATTTACCTATGCCACCATCTGTTTGGTTACATGTTAATGGTGTTAGTTTAACAACAGACATTCATCAATATCAACCATCAGTTCATACATATGATTATCGAACAAAACATTTACAAAGTCCTGTTCAAACTCCAACACCACCATTAGCACCATCACCAACCACTGTTACTTGTAATATAACAATGATTGATGGACCATATAGTAATGATAGGAATAAACACTATCAAAAATTGGATAATATTGATATGCCAAAAAAGCTTTTCATTGATAGACATATTAAAAAAGCTAAATCATTACCTGGACTAATTAAGTAAGAAAAAAAAATAGAGTTATTTGTTTTTTCTTTTATCATATTTAATCAATTATTTGATAAATAATATTGTTTTTTATTATGATTTTAGAGGTACTGCTTTATCACGTCATACACCTCTTCATTCATCAACATTTACAAGTCCAGCATCACTAAATCCATCAACAATTAAAATTCAAGATGATCAACTTCCTAATTTTACAATTGATAATAATGATAATTCTCTTCCATTATCTCAAACAGTGACACATCAAAATGATAATCGTCGTCCACGAGTTTATTTTGCTGATTTTAATAAAGTACAAATTATTGACGATAATAATGAAGCATCTCAACAACATTCGATAAAACGTCGCTTTCGACATCGCACGACAAAAAAACCATCTAATGCAAATGGTAATAATTATACATCACCATCAATTCAACAACCACAAACATTACATAATTCTTCTCTTCCATTATCATATCATCAAATAGGACAAGAATTAAATACTAAAAAACAACAATTACTTCTTACAAACCGTACAAATTCATCGCATAATACACTTTTTCCTGATATACTTAATCAATCATTACCAAATGAAACTTCAACGAATGATAATTCTAATGGAAAATATATTTTACAACGTGAAAAACCTTTAAGTTGTGTTTCTAAACCAGTTCATGATTTTACTTGTAGTTCATCAATGGATACTTCATCTGAAAATATACGCCATGCTGGTAATATTCATACATCAGCAATACAAGATTCTCATAATCGAAGTCATGAATCGGAATCAATTGATAATAGTAGTGGAATGTTACTTCTGACTAGTTCATCAACCTCTTCAACATCAACTAATCGTCAACGTTCATTACTTCATTCAATATCACTTCGACAACAATTTAATTCACCAATTAAAGTAAAAGCTACAGGAATTTCAACAACAGCAACAGCAACAACAAATAATAATAATCATCATCAACAAACGAATAATTCAAAATCAAATACACATCGTTCAATTTTAACTAAAAATTCAACTCCAAAACCTTCTGATGATAATGATGATTTAAATTCAAATATAAATAAATCATCATCAATAATTGATAATCGACCAATGACTGCTAATGGATTACTGAAACAATTAAAACGTTCAGATGTTATTCATTATAATTCTAAAAATCCGTTTGGAAATAATCCAACTAATGATTTAAATGAAATAAATCGTCATATGAATAAATTAAATATTCATGAAATAAATCAAGAACGTTTTCAAAATTTACTAACTATTGTTCGACCACCATATGCTTCAAATAATAGTATTCCACATATATCATCAACATTTATACCAAATGATTCGACAAAACAAATAAATAATCATAATCAAACAAAAAGAAATACTCATTTGTCACGTAGTAGAAGTGCACGTGGATCAGTTGGATTACATATTGCATCAGATACAATTATTGTTTAATTTTTGTATAATTCAAAAAAAAAAGTTTATTTTTTTTTCATACTTAGAAAATTCTTTTCATTTTTTTTTGTTTTTGAATATTTGATCTGATATTTTTATTTTTATCTTTTACTTTTGGGCAACAATCATATTCATGTATAAAATTAAATTAATTCATGAACAAAAAAAAATAATTCATACTATTTTGGAGACATTAGTAAGAGATATGAAATGAAAATATCATCTATTTATATTTGAATGAAAAGAATTTTATTCAAAATATTTTATTTTTGTTTTTCTTTATATGGATTCTATCTACATATTCTAGCAGTTGTATGCATCTCTTTTCTTCTGTGAAACATCTAATACATGAATTGGTCATATTGTTTAATCTCGAGGAATGATATTGAATTAAGATGTTGATAAATAAACAATATAATTTTTTTCGATTGATCATTTTTAGAATATGAAATTGATATTCGATTAGTTTCAATCAATTCAATTAGACATATTAATATCTTTACTTAATGAAAATTCTTTATTTGCATATAACACAGAGAAAAAAAGAAGTTTAAAATAAATTGCCTGAATAAATAAAAAAAGAAAATTCGATATTTGTTCGATTCTTTTCTTTTAACGTGCACAAAAACACAAAAATGCAATTAGTAAAGAAAACATCCTTTTCATAAACTATTTTAAAATATTATTAACTAAACTACGCAAGAGAAAAAAAGAAGAAAGGATTCCAAAATTATTTATTACATTTAGCTTTGTATTGTTGTAAGTTTATGTGTAAGCATTATTTGATCGTCACCATCGGTTGATTTTACTTTAGGATGTAGTTCAATAGAACCAATATTTACAACATTAGGTAAATTTGCAAAACGTTTCATTAATAATAAATAACCTTCAAATATCCAAACACCTATAATTGCTCCAACAATTGGACCCATTATTGGAATCCAAAAAAAGTAGTTATTTGATTGAAAGACTTCTTTCCAACCATAGATAAAAGCGGCAAAAAGACGAGGACCTAAATCACGAGCCTAAAAAAAGAATTAGAAATAAACATATTTTTATATGCGTGTTTTTTTCTTGTTAAATATTATATTCTATACATACAGGATTAATTGCAGCACCTGAATTACGTGCAAATGCTGAAGTTATAGCAAAAATAATAAGAGTAAATGCAAATGGTTTAGCTACTTCAGATATCATATGATTAAAATCCTATATAAATTGAATGAAAAAAAAATAAATAAATTAAACTTATATTCAATTTATCATACATTTCCTAAAGCCATAATAAAAATCATTAAAACAGCTGTACCAATAAGTTGATCAAAGAATAAATTCCATTGTGGTATACCATCTTCTGGCATTGTAAAAAATATATCAGCTGTACCGTTGTTACCTGCTATTTGTCGTACACCACCATCGAATCGATTAAATAAAGCCCAATGAAGATTGTAAACAATGACAGCACCAAAAAATGCTCCAATTAGTTGACCAATAACGTAAAAAAGACATTGTAATGGTTTTAATTTACGAATCGTTAACAATGAAATACTAACAGCGGGATTTAAATGAGCACCTTGATACAAAAAAAAAAAACTTTTTTAAGGAAATTGGTTAAATATTTGTTTTTTCTTACCACTGACTGGACCCGCAATCATAAGTGCTAGCAGAAATTTAAAAAAAATTATAAGTATAAATAATAATACTAATAATAAATCGTATCATCGATAAAAGAATTCAATATTGAATTAATAATTCTTTTGAAAATAATTTTCCAAGAAAAATAACATAGAGAAAAACTTCTTTTTTGCGTTTGTTAATAAATTCGATTCAACATAGAATCTATGACATTATTCATCAAGTTAATTGATTTGATTAACAATCAAGTATCAATCATGCAGAATGAAAACATTAGAGCATTCTACAGAGTCCAACTTTTCAACCCGGAAAATGGTTTTTTTTTGGACTAGCTTATTTATTGCTTTTTGTACTGATTGTTAATGAGAAATATTTCTGTGATGTTTCTTTTTCTTTCTTGAAACTTATACATGAATCGATACAATAGTGTAGTTTGGTTCATTACTTGACATATGAAAAATAAACTTATTACTATGTAAGAGTAAAAATAGTTGACTATTTTATTGATATAACACTGACATTGACTTCAAAAAACAAATTCTTCACAATCATTCCATCGGAGTCATATTTCGGAATTCGATGCAGAATTCTAGGAAAGAAGGAGAGATCATTACGTTTAAAAAATAAAGACAAAACTCATGACCTTTGGCCTGATGCTTTTAAACAAAAGAACACTTTAACATACATGTCGGTTTCATTGAATAATTTTTCGCCAGAAAATCCTTCTGTTTTTCTACTTATTAGCCTAAAGTCTGTATATCTGTTCGCATTACTGGTAAAATATCATGATGCTCCTAAGAACTGGCGGTAGCAATGATGGCTTTCGATTCCAGCTATAAACGATTGTAATAACAATTTATGCAATAACTGAGACCATTTTAGGCTCTGTGGCTAGTACATACAGCCTAAAAATATTAACATTGTCGGAATGCATTGAAATCAATTCACTGCTGTCAATTTTAACAGATTTCAAAAATATCCACTAGTTTTAATACGATACACAGTATGACATATTACATCCCAAAAAAGATCAGCGATATCTGTTCGGTTCGAATCCCATGAGTGTATTGTATTTAATTCGATACTTTCTGAGAAAAGTGAAATATAGATTTTTATATAGGGAGTCATGAACTTTTTTAGTTGCAATGCTTCTCTAGCAAAAATCCCAAATGACCTTCAGATTAATAAATAGAACAAAAAAAAACAAGATAATTTTCTAATAAAATTCTATCCAATGCGTAAATCATACGTGTGTCAAAGTTTATTTTTTTAGAATCATCAAACTACAAAACATTAGTTAATCAGAATAGAAAGAGAGAAATTAATTCAGTAAGATTAATGGCTCTGTTTAATAATTCCATTGATAGACGATCAATTACAATAGCCATTGTCTCACATATGTCATTACTAATGATACCATAGAAAAAACAACGTTAAAAGTACATTATTTATTTCTATAAATGCATCTACAAGATAGATATAACTGGTAATACTAATATACAAGCAAGATTTACTGAATAAAATCTAACAGTAAATTGAATTTTTTTCTCCTATAAAAACAATAATACGTGTATGCAAATAGTTGAAATAGAGTTTTCTGTCATACAAATAATACTAACTCAAATTAATTTATTAAAACCTTAGAATCTATGCATATGATACAGTTTGACACATTTTACCATAATTACTCTACTAGATCTGCATATAGATTCTGTTGATATAAAGTCAACAAACTTAATTATCACTCGAGGCAAAAATAAACGTCTATCAATTGATATTTTATGCAGTATACTTTTGATTGGTAAAACAAAACAAAAAACAATCAGTCTTAGTAACACTATACTGAATTTCTCTATATACTTCTCTTAAATTTCAACATAAATTAGATTATCGTTGCTAATCTATTTTATATGACAAAACCATTCCATTTTGTAATTAGAATAACAATTTTTCTTTCTGTTATTAATGATTCAAATACAGATTGATAAATAGACAGAAAAACAACAACAACAACATATACCCGTATAAACACCAATGCCAAATGAAAGATTAATAGCAACTATTGAACGATGTTCTGGTTTTGAAAATTTATATTGAGCAATGGATGCTTCACCAATTAATATCAACATAAAAGTAGAAAAACATTCAGCTAAACATTGAGCCAAATATTGTTGTAATTCCTTGACTTTCGCCATCGTCTTATTATCTATATACTGTCTTTTTGTTTTTATGCTTCCGATAAAACTACTACGTTGCCGAAGAATACCAACACAAGAATGCACACAAGAATATTTCCTTTTTTTTTTCTTGTTCGTACTCTTTTTTTTTTCTTTTTTTTCCTTTTTCTTCGACAATCGTATGAGACACAAGGTCATCCGATTTCTAAGTATATTATTCAGTTAAATATACATGTTTTCTCGGTATGTTACCGTACATAATTATATACTTGTATATTTCAATTTAAGATTCATCCATATACATATATATTATGAATAAAAAAAAGACTGTTCCTCATCATTATTTACAAGTATATTCTTCGGAGAGATGATTAAGTTCCTTCACATTATAAAATAATGAATAACAACACAAGTGCCATATTTTACGTTGACACCATGGCTATAAATAATAGAAAAATGTGTCACATAAAGGAAAAAATAGTTTTTTTTTAAATCAATTACTTTCAGAAGATAGTTGTGTCTCCATATAATATGATGATTTTTCATTTTCTCTTTGATCAGGTTGTTCAACAGCATCAATATGTATAATACCTGGTAAATTAGCATATTTTTTCATTAAAATTAAATAACCTTCGTAAGTCCAAGCACCAACAATAGCACCGACAATGGGACCGAGACTAGCTGTCCAAAAATAATAATTATTTACACGAAATACTTTCCAACCATAGACACAAGCTGTAAATAGACGTGGACCAAAGTCACGTGCCTTGAAAAAGATTTCGAAAATATGTTTTTTTTTATATATAAAGAGAAAAAAATATGAAATAAAATGTTACGAACTGGATTAATTGGATTTCCACAATTGAGACCCATAGAAAATCCAAAAGTAGTTATCATAAGTGCAAATGCAAATGGTTTAGCTGGACTTGATATTAAATCATTATAATCATTACCAAGTGCCATGATAAATATGAGTAAAAGAGCAGTACCAACACTTGCATCAATGAAACAATTCCAATTAGGAACGCCTGGTGCTGGTGATGTATAAAATATATCTGCTGTTACATTTGGACCTTCAACTTGTCGAATACCACCATCATAGATATTAAATTGACTAAGATAAACAAGATAAACCATAGCAGAAGCAAGAAAAGCACCGATTATTTGACCAGCAATATAGAACAAACATTGAATTACTTTCATTTTACGTAATGAAAGTAGACCAAGACTTACAGCTGGATTAATATGGGCACCTAGAAACAAATTTAAATAGCTTGAGTTTGATTAATTTGATAAAAAGAGTATTCGAGTTTCAATTAGGACTATTCACTAGCATTGAATTTCCAAGTATATTCAATTTAAAGAGTGTTCATGTCATGTTCTTAGTAAAGTTTAAGAATTTTGATCATCTATTTGAATGGAACACTACAGCAAATGATTCAATAAAGGTATGTTAGATGTAATCTTTTCAGTCATCGACTGAAAGACGTGTGCCATGATGACCAATTTGTCTTCTACTGACTTTTTTTTTGACTTTTATCTATATAATAGTTGTTAAAGAGTCAGTAGAAGTATTTCCTATAATTTATCTTTGCGTTATTTCAAAATTAGATTTTTTGTTGCCTTCTATCATAGTTTCTAGAATGAAATTGCGGATACACATTTTTATGGTTCCTAACCTGGTCTCAAACTAGACAATAAATTGAACTTTGGCCTCGGTTCAATTGTATAGAATAGTCTTAGTTGTACTCATGTGAACGAGATCAAACAAGAATATGTTCTCTTTAATCAATGTGAAGGTTTACTTATTTATAACTCATCTTCGTGCACTAATTCACTATCTTGGCATATTCGTAGTTTCCAAACAAAAAAGAACGACAATCTTCAATGCTTAAACAAATCTCAGTCACTTTTATGCATCTTCAAAAGATGCGATAGGTATTTAAGATCGACTAAAACAAAAAATTTTAATTTGTTTATGTTGAATCTGCAGCACTTTACTGTCAGTCATTCAAAACAACTAATGATACCGGTTTTACAAATCTTGTCCAAAACATCCTTTACTATTAATCGATACTTACTGCTAGGGAGCTACGGTCTTCTTTTTCTGCAGATCGAGATCCGACAATAAGCTAAATTTTAGATCTGGGTCTAAGAGAACTCGTAGCTTCATTTCCCAGGATTCGAGAAAATATTTTTCTATTGAATTATCCTCAAAAGTGTAGTATTTATATGTGATCTTGCGCGCTAATTACAAATATCATACTTATATTTCGATAAGATTGAATTTTATGTATGCAATCAGCATTTTATCGTTACATGAGCTATACAGCTACTGCCCCATGCAGAGGGTGTACCGTATATAATGAACCCATTTTAATTTTCTTTAGCTTTGTATAAGGTCTCAAAAGATTCTTGAGAAAAGTGTGCACAAAACCATCAGAATTTTGAACTTCTTAACAACACCGTCATGCTGATCATGTCTTAGAACCCACTTCTGTAGACCTTCATAGTTTTGCTTTCATTCAATTAGGATATATAGAGTATACTCAAACAGATATACAAAGTTGCCCATTGTTAAACTACGTATGTATAGTTGTCTGAATTTCTTGACAGCGATACATAGAAATTATGAAAATTTTTGGGACGAAGTGTTAGGACATGCTCAACATGATGGTATTATCAAGAAGTTCAATACTCATATGATTTTGTACTTAATGTTCTCTTAGATCTCTTGGGATTTTATGTAGAGTTCTTCTTCTTGAATTCGATCTGATATTCGGATGGAGCACAGGAAAGTACCATCGAACAGTAAATATGACTGTTTAAGAAATATTTTGATTGTTTATCGATTGATTTTAAAACTGAATCGATTTAGAACGAATAAAATAAACACTACTGTACATTTGGACATAGTGTGGAAAGAAAACAACAACGTTTTCATACATACATAGGTTAATACATGAGAAACTGACTATATAGCGTATTTAGCGATATAAATCTTTTTTTTTTCATTTAGAAAACTCAAGACAATCGAAATATTAATATGATATTGATAATCAGCCCGTCACAGCGAATATAAATGATGTAGCGCTAAGAATAATTGAGAGAAAAAAATTCGAATCTTGAAGGATATCACATGTTGCAAAAGGCTTATTTCAAAATGGCGCAAAATTTCTATTGACCCTCTAACAATTCTCATGAATTCATATATATATATAAGTCAAAAAAAGTCTGAAGAGAGAAAAATAGTCATGCCTCCTTTCTTTTTGTAAGTGGCTAGAGTGATCTTCTCATATTAAAAAATTTCTTCTTCAAAATAAGATTCACTAGATTGAAAAATAAATTTCATGAGAATTCTTTCGATTTAGTACAATCAGACTGAAGAATACAACAAAACTTTTTATTTACTACACAATGCGTCATTTTCATTCGTTGGCGAAGCACGTAGTAAACTACGTTGATACACTCTAAGATTATCTGATAATAATAAATGCTTTCACGATAGAAAGCATGTTGAAGGTAATTATGTAATAAAAATCATTCAAAGAGAGTTATATAGGTTTTTTCCTGAAGTTACATGAATATATATAATAATCTTTCCGATGACTTGTTCAAAAATATTCATCAGAAATATTTACGCCTCTTGAAGTCATATTCTATCAAATCAATTCTAGAATTATTAATAAAACATCAAATATTTTTATTTAAAGAGTAGTATGTACCACACCTCGAAAATTTTATAACATTGAATAGGTGATTCAGGTCATAAATAACGTGCTGTCTTATTTGCAACACTTGTTATCTTGAAGTTGACAAGAATGAGTTTTTCATATGTTACTTATCGCCATGTGCAGTGCTTGTTTAAAAGTATTACAGTGCACAAAAATAGCAATATACAAAGAGTATAAAAAGAAATATATTTAATCATTGTACGACATTAAATGTAGAGGTGTCTAATCTGCATATATACATAAATAAGAATAGGTCATTTTTGATCCTAAACTTAATGTTAATGTTAGAACCGTATAATTATACAAACTTAGAAAACGACCTGGCAATCTACTTTCGACAGAAAAAAATAGATCTACACAAACCAGCCCATGATAAACTAATCTAATGATAATTTCGTGAGAAAGATAACTGTCATTCGTTTGATTGTAATGTAAACAAATATAGAACACTTTGCTTTGTATCACACAAGATCTATCAGAATTAACTTTGTTAGATGGATTAAAACTTCTGTACATAGTTTCTTTTAGCATTTAACATATTCTAACTAAACCTGGAAAAGTGTATAGTTCTACAGAATCGATTATTACATACTTTAATTTAGGTCTACATAAAATATAACGATTAATTATCAGCTTAAAATAAAAATAAGTCATCAAAAACAATTAGCATTTCTTAAGTAATTAGTTCACTCAAACATTAAAACAAATCTTAATACAATCTATATAGTTATTCTTTTTCTAATATCTAACCTGAAATAGGTCCAGCTATCATTAGAGCAACATAAACACCAGTTCCATAGGATAGATTGATACCAAAATTGCTATTAATACGTGGTTTAGTAAATTTATATTGAGCCACTGATAAATCACCAATAAAGATTAGAACAAATGTTCCGAAAAGTTCAGCAACAAATTGTGCAACATATTGTTTGAGTTGTTTTGCATGCAACATTATTGTTTTTTTCTTGATAACTACTAATGTAAGAAAAGATAAGCAAAATTAAAAGTAATAACGACGTGAGAGAGCTATAAGTACAATGAAAAATAATATTGCTTTATATACTATTGAGTATTGTCCAGAGTCAACAATCGTAAATCAAGGCATTTGAGGGTTTTAGGAGACATTATTTTTCATCCGACTTTATTTTTAATACATCTTGGATACAAAGTCACGTACAACACGTCAATAGTATAGATCTCACTCTTTTCTATTTTCTTAACAAGACTTATTTTTGTCACTTAGGTATATAGATGAAACACGATTCAATTTATATTTACTTAAGCTTTAATAAATTTGCTTAACCCTAAAATAAAGACAAAAATACGTACCAATGAGTAATTTAAAAAAACAGTATTTCGCGTCTTTTGAAATTCAAGATCTATATTTATAACGTAATAGGTATAATAATAACTGATTAGCGACATCATCTAACTTAATTTTTCAGAACAAGTTGCCAAGATTCTAAATAAGATATGAATAAAAAAATTGATGCTCTATGCTCGTTTTCGTTTATCAATGAAAAAGTTTGAATTAATAATAAATTTCAATTAGAATGTTAACCATAAAAAATGATCGAGAAAATCATTAAGCTTCATGTTTAATTATTAATTTGATAACTTTTGTCGAACATTCTAGTAGAAATAATTATAGAAGGATTTTTCAACAAAATGAATGCTTTTTAAACTGATTTTTAAGCTTTGACAAAGAAGAACAACTCTAGTTTTGAAATATATCTTTGTAAAAAGGTATGATTTTATTTTGTGTTCGTAATTATATTATTACATAAAAAGTCATGCTTTTTCCCTTGACTTGTTAACACAACAATCTGGGTCAAATATTTCTCTAAATATATAGTTATACAATACTCACATTATCTTTTTCATACATTGATTTAAGACAGTACAATAAAGTATGTTTTGTTAAATTAACAATGGTATACTGTTGATCATTAAAATTAATCTCTTCTTGAATTATAGGCGATAAATTTAGTTATTTTAATAATGATGAGATAAAATAGTTTTATTAGAATACCTAATCCATGTTATTGAGTTTGCTTTTAAGAGTTTCCCTTCCTCCTCTAAAAAATCGATATTTGTCAAAAAAAAAATGATTTATGAGATAAATTTATGAAAATGTTACCTAGGTCGTTTGGTGTGCGAATTTATAAAAAGATGCTTGACTCTCGAAAATTTCTAGGAGTTGTATGGATGATTTTGAAAACTATCTCTACAAATACTGACTTCTAGAATAATTAGTACAATTTTATTGTAGTTTAGAGATAATCAAATATGACGCATCTTAGAAACATACATTTGAGATCTATAAAGACATAGAGACGTAGGTGTAAATTTTTTCTTCACCCACACTCAAAAGCGAATGCAAAAAAATCACTTTGCTATTCTTATGTCTTTATTATGTTGTTGAATAGTATAATAAATATAAAGATAATTCAAAGTAGGATCAGCTATAGTGATCCACGTCGTACGAGGATAATCCAATGTACGTAGATAAGTGATGGGATTGATATATAATATATTTATGCTTGATCTCTATTTTAAGTAATAATAGAAAGACTATATAGAGGTAAAAAATACTTTTGCGTTCTTCTTAAAATCGACTGTTTTTAGGTGCTGTTCGAGTTGAGGACAAATTTCTTCTCAATATACTTTACTCTAGAGAGTAGTGCATTTTTGTTAATTCATAAATATATGCATACTCCCTCAGACAAGGGAAGAAAATGTTTTAATTAATCTTTAATGCTAGATAATCATTCAGTTTTCCAGACTTTTGAAGTTTTGATAATTCGAAAAATGAAACAGTGAAAATTTCAAAATTCTTTCTCTCATCTGAACTACTGAGGTTTTCTCTTTCAAATAAAACCAATCTGAGTTCTGCAGCTTAGTCTCTGACAATCTCCTGTATGGTAAGCTATGATGATGTGAAATTGTTTGCATTAATGCATTTCCATGAGATGAATATTTATGCAGGATTTCATCTATATCTCATGTGCCCTCTCGAAATTAAGTTTTCAAGACGGGGCTTAACGGACGCTGTATGTGTGTATCGAAAAGCAAATCATTTTATACAATACAACAATATAGTGTTTAAAACTTTTCAATATGTGTATTCTAATTATAACAAAGATGATTGACTCGAGTCATATTTGTTTAAAGATTCCGACTTGAAGTCATCTACTCAAGAAAAAAGCATTTCAGGCAAACTTGGTAGTTTTCTACAAAAAGAAAACTTCACTAGTGAAAAATTCATATTCATCTCTTAATAAATCAGTTAACGAAACCATGCGTATTCCTGTTATATCAACATCAATTGAACGTGTGCTTTGGCAACAAAACATTAACTTAAATGTTAATAAATATTATTTGCTTATCAATAACTTTAAGTTTAATTCTTTTGTTTATAAAAATTGATGCTTTTTTTATTGTCTTGGGGAACTTGTATAAGAGAGAACAATTGATTTTATTGTTCTTAGATTTTTTCGTGCGTAAAAACTATGAACAAGAAATCATGCCATGAAAAACTTGTTGTTAATGTTCTTTATAAAAAAACAAATAGAACGAGAGAAAAGTGGCACAAAAAAATTTGACTTGACTCCAGATAGTGGAAGATTGTCGAGATCTCGATCCCATTGGGGCTAAGATGAGGATAAGGATCAACATCTTTTGATTGGAAAGAGTATATTTTATGATACTGTAACCTTTGCATCAAATGTCGTATTCTGACGACTCATGTGCCGTAAAAGTACATTATTGATAGTAAGATCAATCCTTGTTTTTGTGAAGAACAGAGTTATCGAACACCTAAATCTGCAGAATAGACAAAGTATGAATACATTAAAAACAGTAATGAATTTTCAAGAGGAAAAATATTAGACGTCATGTAGGTCATGCAAGACGTTTCGAATTCATTACCATCGTTAGAAAACGATATCGCAATTTTTACTAGTACAACTAAGCACGAAACTCAAGCCAAAAACGATTTGTCCTGCTCATCACTACTCGATTCTACTCAAAAAATGGCTTAATTCTCCTAATTCTGAGTGATAAGAAAGTCTAAATAGTAATCTCATTAGTATTCAAGTCACATCTACACAAAAACAATAATCTCTTTTAGATGAGTGTCATGCTCATAGTTTCTTGTTAATCTCTTAATTCAAATGTGATTTGTAAATGTAAAATACTAGATCTTATGAGTTTCATTTACTAAATAATTCTTATGTTTGTGATCATATTTGAAGTAGATACTTTGATCTTTTTGAAACATGTAAACTCAAGAAAGTCTATTTATTAATAAGATATAACATTGTTCCAATGAACAATTTAAATTTTATATATAAAGCGCGAATAAAAAGTCTTGAAAAAAGTTCGGTTTTATCTCAATACACATGTCAACAAGTCATCATACATCGCATTCTGAAAATGTATCTCATATGACACTTAATGTAAATTTTGATGATGATGTTAGATCATTTACAACGTCGATCACTAGTCGATCATCTATATCGACGACTCGATCTGGTTCAACAACTACAGAAGTAGGTCAAGAACAAATCGATCAAATACGTGATGCATTTACCGTGTTTGATAAAGAAATGACAGGTTCAATTACAACAGAACAATTTCGGTAAAATAAATAAATGAATTTAAAAAATGATAAAAAGTCTGAAAATTGTTCATATGACGATTGCGCCAGAATAAATATTCTTCTAAGTATTTTCTTAATATCACTGTCAAGATTCATCACCATACCACAATCTATTTTACTTAAAAAGATTCACGATTCAATTTTCAACAAGAACGTATCCCAAATTCTGCTGAAAAATACTAATGAAAAATATTCGACAAATACGATTCCAGGCGTTAACATGCCTAATTTTCAAAAGTTGTTCTTTTTTAGAATAACTCAGCATTTGTGTTCTGACTTTGTACAAATATAAAAAAGTAACAGAGCGTTTACGAGTATAATTAAGTGAGGCAAAGAAAAATGTCTAAAACTTGGCTTGTTTTGTGCAATGTACCCCAATAAATATTCCTATCTAAATGTTGGCATTGCAATCTGATGCATCATTCATTGCTCTTGAAACTGAAATAAAGTTAAGTTATATGGACCTGTTTTTGCTTCGTCAATTAATAAAAATTTTGCTGAGAGTCTCAAAATCGTTGATTGAAAACGATTATTTTCGATAAGTTTGAGAAACAGAGAAATAATGCATTGAAATGGCAGGTATCCATATAAAAATTTTATTAGACTGATTACAGGATGAAACTTTTCAAGCGTTACAAAATAGTCATCTAAATTGTGAAACACAATTTAAAAAGAGTATTGCAGTATAGAAGTAAAAGTTTGGATTTCCCATAAATCTTGCCAGATGTTAGTCAGAGACCATCACAGACTGTATACTGATAACGTCTCGTTATAATATATAAATTACTATGTTACAACATTTGTGAAGGATTAAGTACAACGATAGTGAAAAAATGCATCTCCAAATAGATAGAATAAAACAATCTTTCTGTAATTAGCAAGAGCAATTACATTGTGTTTTACATTTTTAACTCTACGGATGTTGCATTAACAAGCTTTCCTTTGTTAGTTTAAAATCAAACGAATAGATCTAAACAGACTATGTATTTCTTTATGAAAGTTGCCCATATTAGAGTATCGCAACACTATAACAAAACTTGTAATACGTTTTTGTAGAAAATTGAATCGTGAATATTTGTAAAAAAAAAAAGATTAAGACATGGAAATGAATACTGATGGACAATATAGAAAAAATACTAGAACGAGGTATTTATCCGGGTGTATTCATTAATAAGTACTGTAACGATTCAACAATGAATAATTTATTGAAATTTCGACTTCTTCATACGTAGAACATAAAGCTTAGTCAATAAATAATTTATTTCAACTAAAAAAATTCTCACAATGAATATTGATAGACAATAAATTTAATTGAATTTATTTTCAATTTAGTAAAGTTCTCGAAGATCTCGGATATAATGTTCCCGAAAACGAACTAACTACATTTATTAATCAACTTGATATTGATAAATCAGGTAGATAATATATTTTAATATCAAGTAAAATTATTCTAATCGATTTCGCTTTCTTTTAGGAACTATTGAATTTGAAGAATATCTTAGTTTTATGTTAACATTTATTAAGAAAAATGTCACAACAGAAGATAATCTCAAAGATGCTTTTAATCTATTTGATCAAAATGATGATGGTTTTATTGAAACAAAAGATTTACGAGAAATTATGACTAATCTAGGTGAAAAAATTACAGATGAAGATATTGATGAAATGATTCGTGAAGCTGATATTGGTATATATGTTATTTTATTTTTTTGATTTTTATTCTAATAAATTATTTAATAAATATGTCGTTTGTTTAATATTTTAGATAAAGATTTTAAAGTTAACTTTTATGAATTTCAACGAATTATGAGTTTTAGATAAACAAAAAAAACTAAACATGATAAAGTTCATCAGCAAAGTTCATTTTCTTTTATTGATAAAATATAGAATAAATGAATACATGATTATTTTTTTCCAAACTTATAACGATTTCGTATTCGAGCTATTTGGCGATATGGACCAGACGAACCCGTATTGGATGCAGCTTCTTCATCAGAATTAGCATCATTATTTGTACGCATACCCAATATTTCATTTGTATCTCGTTTTTGAATTAATTTACCATGAAGAACCATAACCAAAGCAAAGAAGAAGAACAAATTGGCCAAGGATAAAAAACGCATCTTTGTTATTTTGTCAAATGAAAATCAAAATATTAAAAAAAAGAAAGGAATCAATATATATATATATGATAGCTTGAATCAAATTTAATAAACGAATACAATCTGTTACATATGATATTTAATGATGTACTTGTCAAATAAATATAAATCGTCAAATTATTAAAATTTTAATAACACTTAAGATTTTATAAGAGCAAAATATCAGTCATTTTTGCTTTTATTTTATTTTTTACATGTATTCTCTTGAAATCAATTATGATATATTGATAAAGAAATAAGTAAATAAATAAATAAATAAATAAATAACATCATTTTATGGCAAATAGAGTTTTATAAATAAATTCAAATAGATTTTATTTGATATCATAGAAGATATTTCAATATCAGATTACTCATACTAAAGATCGTACTATCGATGTCTATATATATACAATAATATCTTAATTCTGAAAAAGAGTGCGACTTTAGCATATTGCTGCCAAGATTCTGTATTTTTATTGTAACTTTTTTAAAATGAATGCCATAATCTTTCTTGAGGAAACAGATTTTCGAATTTTCACTCGAAGTTTAAACATCAAATTTTGCTGGTGTATATGAGTAATAAAAGATATACACTATTACTATAGTTGTATCTTAGTATAGGAACAGCAACAAGATCTAAAGCATTCATTAAAAAAACATGATGATCTATCCTTATACAAAAAATTTCACGTCAAAATCCGAAAATTAGTTTTTCTGTAGTTGACCATGGAATCGATTTGGCAGCAAGAAACCAAGAGCACGAACTGTTTTCAAGATATTCATAGCTCATTTGGATCTACATGATGCACATGATTTTGACTCAAGGGCAATTTATCTATCGCAGGACTTCTCTTATCAATTTCTATACGATGAAAAGTTAACATTAGCTTTTAGTTATTTACATAGTATTTCTATTATTAATTTTATGAAACATATTGTTTTATGAACTGAAATTTGGTGATTTAATTCTTCATTTGTAATGAAATATCGATTATATTACGAAGCAATTTTGTTTTCAGTGGATTACGGAAATAGATTGATATTGAGTGATTCAAATGCTAATTTAGTAACTAGTGGATGATGTGTATAGTATCGGCAATAATGAAAAAGGATTACTGAATCTCCTCTTAATTGAGAAATAGTCACAGTTTTTGTCATTGAATCTAATCTTTTTTTTAATTATATTAGCAATATTTATCGATTACTTCGTTTTGTATCATTGCACAATAAAATGTTTTAACTTCATATGCTTCATCGAATTGATGCGTTTTACACTTCTGCATACTTAATAAATAATTCATAAAAGCATAAATACATTGTTAAATTCTCTTTAGCTGTTTTTTCAAGAATATACTAGATTAGAAGTCGGCTTGTCAGTTATTGATTCGATTCTGTTTTCACTGGTGTATGGTTATTATTTGTTAGAGTACTTAAATTAGTCAATATTTTTATTATTTTTTTAATCGATTTTCATTGTTTTAATGTTCGAGAAGCATGCTGAATGTATTGTCGGAAGTCAAGAAAAAGTTATCCACTGATTCAGAACCTAAACTAAGTCTAAACTAGAAATTTCTCATTCCAAATTTTCAAACTTACTTCTGAACTGTATATCATTGACTGACAAAAACTCTTAACAGCCTGTTCGTCTTATACAACTTTTACAAAAGGCTTAAGTCTTAATAAAATAAATCGAAAACTACAAAGTCTATTCCAAAATAGAACCTCGTACAACATTTAATTTTCCTATTGACAATAATAGCTAATAAGTGGACAAGTTCCTCCAGTAATGGTACAACTCTTTCGAAGTAACTAAAAATAAAATGCTACCCGTTCATTTAAGTTCATTAAATAGTGATTTCAAACAAGAAAAAATTAAACTTATTACTTCTTACAAAGAATTCATGTATTTATTAAGAAAAACTAGTTATAATAAGACATTGATGTTGTTCTGTATCATTTGTTGTAAGGTACGACATAAAAAGTTTAGAAAACAGTATTCATTTGCCTTTTAGTATTATTGCGTACAAGGCATAATGGATTAAATTAATGAAGTTAGCATTAAAAATCTCAAGTTATATATATATCTCACTTTCAATTTGTTAATTGATTCATATAAGAAACTGAGTTTTCACCGATTGCAATTCTCTAATTAAAACATCTAGTCAGATACATTTGAAAGAAATTCAAACGGTTCCAAATTTGATTGAATATACATTGTAAGAACATTATTTTCTATTATCTAATCAAATCTAAAATTCATCTTCAATGAATATTTTTTATAGTTTCAAAACTAATACACGATAAACATCAGTTTTGTATGTATATGATAGCCAACCTTTTTCTTGTTCTATACAATTAGTATTCTTGAGTACATAGAATAATTCATTAATATGAATGGACATCAATAACAGAAAAATGGAAAATTTCGAACTTTTTAGGGAAAATTACAGTGTTCGGTCTATGAAAATTAGTCGCTATGCGAACATAGCAAAGACTTTTCTAATAAAAGAAAAAATATTCTAGTTTTTAATTAAAACTTTCGATTAAAATGATTAAGCTAAACAACGATAAAAAAAAGGAATAAGCAGACAATAATAATCGAATTGTAGACTGCTATAAAGCAAGGGATGTGTTTCCTTGATCAATACGAATACTTATAGACTAGAGATAAACCTCCAGATATAGTATGATCTTTTATTAACTTATATTATTATGGTTATTTCTAAAGCTTATTCAGCAGACTGGCTTGTATTCTTTTTTATTTTGACATGTCAACATATGTATTTAGTGAAAGCGAACAGAATAAAGTTCTATAATCTTATAATAAATGGGCTTAAAGTATTGTAAAAAACAGTTTTTGACTTTGTTAAAGCTCTTTAATGAAAATGAAGTTTGAATCCTTTATCATGAAGTTAAATACCAAGAATATTTATAAAACTAGTAACTTGCTATACATCAAATTCTTTATTCAAGATATTCTTCTAATAATCACTGTATCAAATGTTGTTTTTTTTCGTGCATTTTGTTTAGATAATAGGAAGCAAAAATTCAGAAAAACACAAAAACTATAGACAAATGTGAAGATTTTATTGTGATCATTGGAATAATTTGTTTAGGACAATATCTCTACTAATTAGGTTTATTCGAAGAATATATAAGAATAATCAATCCAGTCGGATATTCCTATCGCACAGCTTCTATATTGAATCAGAAACATATGATATTTTTTGTCAATTATAGAAATGATGTAATGCTGATTACTTGTTATTATTTTGATTATGTATCTTGTTCGAAGCTAAACTAACCAAACACCTTCGTAGAATCTGTTGTTGAAACATACTTTTATCAATCTTTTTCATCAATGAAAAACCGGTCCATGACCTGATTACTAAGTTTGTCCATTGCAAAATTCATCTAGTCAATAAACATGCAAGTGTGTTTTTTACTGAAATATTCTATTTAAAATGGTAAAGAATAACATATATTTCTTATATATGATAGAATCTATAGGATAGGCATATCCGACCATAATAGATACTTCAATTTAATTATGTGCATTATTTAATCTTGAGGTTTTTATTACTTAATGAAGAAAAGGAAATGAATAATATTACTCTTCATCTTCTAATGTAAGAATCAGGATAAAACAAAAAAAGAGTATTTAAAAGAGCCATTTTGAGACCATCGTGTATACGAGACACTCAATAAAAAAATTTTTTTTAATGCATTCAATGCGTCGATGTCAGAAAACTACCAACGCCAACATTTTTGCATTCGATATCCTTTGGTTCCAAAAATTGGTCCATATCGACTTTTTTTTAATTCAATTTTTTTAATAAATTATACTAAAACATAAAAAAACTAAGAACTGGATAAAATGAGATGTTTACATACAATACAGTGTTGACCAACGCATGTTTTAAAAGTTCAACATTGGATGAGAAATAACTCTTTTGATGAGCTCAAAATGTCCACTTGGTAATAATCTATTGCCTGTTAGGATTCGAAATCAGAAAGTTCCAAGCTGATTTTTATATACGTTATGAAACTTTCTATTCTCTACAAAATGCTTAAAAAAATATTGAAAAATAAATGGTATGTTTCTGGTGAAACGAGGTTCATAGATCTCTCTCATAGAATAGTTTTGATCATTTTTCAAAGAGAAAAAAACATTTTTGGCAATTTTTATAATTATAAGAAAATTTTCAAGCAAAACAAATAGCATGCAAAACTATATTGAGTCAAAAAGAGTTTAGAGGAATTTTCTTAATGAGAAAGACAGGCTACCGGAAGGCCATGGAAAAAATTTTAATAAAATACAGTCGTGGAAAAATAGTTCCTTTGGATAGTTTTCGACACTGATTTTGAATATCGTATTTCTTTAGCTTTAAAATTCTTTCATCACAATGAAAGCCACTAAAAATTTTTCTTTCTATTGAAAAATTATCAAAACCCATATGTGGGAGAGAGAGTTGTGAATCCCATTTCGTCCAGAACGTACCATTTCTTTTCGAATATTTTTCATCATTTTGTAGGGAATAAAAACTTTCATAACATGTATAATTTAGCTTGGAATTCTCTGATCCTGGATCTCGACAAATAATAGATTATTATCAAATGGACATTTTCGGTTCATTGAAAGAGTTATTTTTTATCCAATGTTGACCTTATAATACTTCAGCCGATCAACAACATATTATTTTGAAGTATTTTGTTTTGTTAAGGTTTAAATTCTCTACCTTCAAGTACAATTTATAAAAAAATTTGAACGCTTCATTGAGACGAGAATAAACTTCTCTTATCAGCATATAAGAAAGATTAAAAGTTTGTTTTGACTAACTTTGGAAAGGAAAGGTATTGAACATAAAAATTTTGGGGTCGATAGTTTCAGATGTCGATGCATTGAATGCACACAAAAAAATTGTTACTATTGATTTTGTTAAATGAAACTAAACTATTTCATTAAATTGACCAGATCAATGGTTTATTGCAAATATAAAGTTTTATAGGAAAAAAGAAAGATTTATATAAAAAAAAGCAAATTTTTGAAACAATCATAATTATTCATCTATGTTCTTTAATGATGATTGAACGTTTTGTCATATGATGCCTTTTTTTAATATATATATATATTCTTCTTCAATTCGTTAAGTATGGTCGATTGCTTTTTCTTAGTATTTCTTTTCAAGGTTATTATCATTATAATTATTCATATAGCGTTTCCGCTCACCAAAGACGTTTGCATACGGATATATGTGTGCAGCAGATTATAAATCTCTTCATTCCGTTCAAATGAGCAGCAGTAACAAGAAGACAAGTATAAGTGTAGTCACGTGCAGCAGGAGGCCAAGAACAATAGTCAAGCTTCATAAAGAAGTAAAAAAAGAAAAAAAAAATAATACAATATATGCCATGTCACACACATATTTATATATATATATGCTCGATCAAACAGCCTATAATCATCTATATATCGACTAATATTAATAATATGCTTTTTTTAATATTTTTATTTGATTGGTATAAAGAAATTCCGACATGCACAATTGATTGTTGATGTTGTTTGTTGTTTACGATGTAAAGTTTCTAATAAACAACTTTGACATACAATAGTCGATGTTGTTGATAATGATGGTGGTTCACATGTATAATAATGTGGTGTTAATTGACGATTATTTGAAATACATTGTTGTTGCTGTTGTTGTTGTTGTTGTTTTTGATAATATGCAAGTGTACACGAACAACAACAGCAATGATGATCAAATGTTGTTGGACGAATTTCTTCATAAATATTTGTTGAATTATGATGAGATAATGATATTTCATCAGAATTTAAATATTGTTGACTATGTAATAAATGAAGACTTAAATTTGAATTATTTGTCATTGCTAATGATGGATATTGATTATGAGCTATTGTTGTTGTTGTTGTTAATGGAGTTGAACATTCATATGATGTTGGTATAACCTAGAGAAGAAAAAAAAAGAGACGAACATATATTTATTTTTGTCGTTTTTGAATTAATCATAGAGATTTTGAAATAAAATTTTAAAAATCCCAAAAATGATATTGATCAAAATCTTTTAAAAATATGAAAAAGTCTTGTAATGTAGAAGATCTTTTATTGTAACAAAAAGAATTTAGTCAAATATGATTTATATAATCGTATAATGATTTGATTGTGTTAGTATATAGTAATTTATTCAAGAACTTCCGATTTCCTTCTATTAATGTGAATACGTAACAAAGAAAAAAAAAAAGCAAAAATTTAATTAACCGGAAGATAATCTTAATTTTCTATACTAAATAAAACCGGTAGATATTTTAATCTTTTGAAGTAGATATGTATATTTTTTTCCAATTCTTTTCATTTTTTTTTTCTTCAATCTGTCAAAAGATTTGTTTTCTCTTTTATTGACAACTATCCATCTGTTTGAGATTCTTTTCTATGTTTTATCTATTTATTCTCAAGATAAGACGAGCTTTAATGTAAACAGACTCTACTATTATCCATCCTTCTTCAAACATCCGTTTTGAATTCATTACGTTTATCCCCACTTGGCAACAATTAACTTAGATTGCCTATTCTTATAGTCAAATGTATATATCTTATAATAATGATTACATAATTCTTACACTCGAGAATGATGCACATCCGTCGCCGCCACCATTACTATTACTGCCAATATTGCTATTTGTATTTGTTGTTTTGATAAATGTCACATCACTGTTATTCGTTTCTCGAATGCTACTATTCACACTATTGATATCTGGTGTTGTTCGATGACGACGATGATAATATCCTAATTTATAACGAAATCGAAATCTAAAAAAATAGATAAAAACAAAAGTTCATATAGAACATGGTTGTTTTTTTATTTATTTTCGTTATCTTACTTAACACCGAGTAAAAATAAAATAAGACAAGTTGAAGTTAAAGCAATTAATATACCAAGAATAATTGAAATAATTGTTAAATATGATGAATCTGTTATTGGACGTTGACGAAAATTTGTAAATGTTGATGATGAACTTAATGATAATTTACATGTTGTTGTTAAAAATAATTCAGGTATTGTTGGTGGACGTGGTGGTGGAATAAGAAGATAACATGCAGATTGTTTTCGACATATTTCATATTTTTGTAAATGATTAACATCATAAAATGAACTAATTTTTAAATTAGATAAAGTTCGATTCATACTGTTAAATCTATAATACAAAACAAAAACAAAGAAAACTAACATTCGATTGTTATTCTCTTTCTTCTTTTCTTTTCTATCACGTTTGTTCATATGTGACACAGTTCAACAATTATTACTTCTCTCAAAAAAAAAAGAAAGAATACAGAAAGAGAAAGAGAAAGAGAGAGAGAGAGAATTAGGGGAGAAGGACTCTCGTTTGCTTGCTTACTTCTCTTCGTTTAAGGTTTTTTTTGATGTACATGTGAGACGGCCAAGAGTGTTGACAGACGCAATGCGTATGTATGCTAAGAGACGGCATAGCAAATACAGAGCGCTTTTTCCTAAATTAGTCTGCTCTTACTCATACATTCTTAAATGGAAAACAAAAAAAAATGATCATTGTGGATTTTAATGCATATTCATACTTGAACATGTTTTAACTAGGAGTTTTTTTCTGATGTAATCAAAGAAAAGTGTAAATCAATGATGACCTTGTCCTTGCGTATATATGTAACAAACTCTCACGGGAAGTTATATGAAGGTGTTAAGAAAAAAAAAATATCAAACACGATAAGCTTAGCATTATTAAACAATGGATAAGGAATAAAAAAAAGAAAAGAAAAGTTAAGAAATACGGTTAGTTGTAATAATACTGATGGATTAAAAGCAAGATATTGTTCTCATGAATGAATAGAAAAATAGAAGTACAATTCTATTGTAAAATCAAAAGAAATTAACCTTGTAATACTAATAATTATCATATCTACGTTTTCCTGCTATTAGTATTTCAACACTATCTATCATGATTGTTGTTGATCGGACTAGACACACGAAAAGAAAATATGTTCAAAGGGTATCATGCTCCCGTGACTATATCATTGTTTATATTGTACATAAGTAAATGACACTAACTGAGTAGTAAAAGAGAAGAAGTTCAAAGCTCTTACTCTCGTTCTCCCTCTTTACTTCTTTTCTTAGTAATGATACATCTATTCATTTTCCTTTCTTTAGCATGTCGTGTACACATACATATATATATATATACATATACACAAATATTTATTGCAATCAATCTCGATACATCACCATCACCATCATCATTATCATCATCTTCTTCCTTCATCCATTTTCGAATCATACTAATAATTAGAGTGTCTCCCTCTCCCTCTCTCTCTCTTGCTGTTACTTATGCTCTTTACTCTTTACGATGTCGTGTCACAGGAAGGTGTTTCTAATTTGATTTCTTTTCGAACAGTAGTTTGATCAACAGAATGTAATTATCGAACATACCGTGCTTGTCTGACCTTCACTCATGTTCAATCATACAGAAAGAATAAGATGACAAAAAAAAACAAGAAAAACCTTTCAAATATACAAATGTACATACACATATGGCATAGAGCGCATCAAATAACGATAAATCGTATAAAAAAATAAAAATGAAGGAGGAGAAACGTTCATATGTTCAAGGTAGAATAGAGATCAGAATTGTAGAACAAATGGTTAAATACCATAAATCATCGAATTCAACAAGAGCATGCACGTGTGTGTGTGTGTTTGCAACCACGCGTACAGACACTAATGGACGACTAGACAACAGATAGAGACTACTTTTTAATACCCTCAAATAATAATAATAATAATGAAAAATGAACCAAATCAAACAATGAAGACAAAAAAGAAAAGAAAAATAGATCTACGTGTATAAGAAAATTTTTCACGAATAATTTTAAAAGATTATGAATTAAAGTTAATTCTTTTGATGAATAAAAATAAACTTAATCTACGACATGTCTTCATTGTTATTCGATCATCAATTTTCGATCATTAATTTAGAAATTCCAAAAATAAAATAAAAAATATTGCACACAATCAGTAGTGTCCCGAAGTCCTCAAGATTAGAGTAGGGGATTGGTTTTTTTTGTGAATAATTATTTCAATTATTGTACCGTATAAAACTATAAAATATCTTCTAAAATGACTATAAATAAAATTCGATATTCTATTTATGTAGTATTTTTCTTTATAACTTGTAGTTTTCTATTCTTTTATAAATGAAAATTTTGAATAAAAAAAAATTACTAAAAATGTTCAATCTCATTTATCATAAAGAAACAACGACTGATAAACATCTAAACTGATTTATTATATTCATTTATTTTTGATCTGATAAAAATTTCACGTTCTCGTTTAGACTTTGTTGTTTTTCTTTTTCATACCTGTATATTCTCTAAAGATTTGTTTATTGAATAAAGATATGTTTCTTTTTCACATCAACTTCTAAGATTTTTTTTTTAAATGTGTGAATGACTTTTCTTCTTCTTCATGTCTCACTTGATTGTTAAACAATCATATTTTCTTCTTCTTAGCGGCAGCGGCATCTCAGCATTCTTCATTTAAGGTAAAATGAGAAAGCTCAATATGTGTGTACATATACATATATATATATATATGTATATCTTCTATCACATAGAACAAGCTTCAAAAGCAAATGAGAGATCATTTATTAACTTGACAGATTGTGTAATTTTATTTCTTTTTTCATTTCAAGAGTTTACTTTTTAAACGGATATTTAACAAATCTGCCTTGAGGGAAAGAGTCAATCTTTTGGTGTCAAGTTCTTCAATGTTACATCAATCATGTTCGATCTGTCGGCAACGGACATTCATCATTGAACACGTTTTCAAATATCCGTTTTTTCTTCTTACATACCTGTATTGTAGATGTATGTATGTGTGTATATATGCGTGTGTAAGGATATATTATATGCCGAGAATGTTATGGTGAAGTGATGTCTATGTGTACTCTATACTTTTTTTTTTCTCGTTTCTCTCTATGTGGTCAGTTTGATGATTGTTGTATATAAATTATTCGAGAATAGGAATGAAAGACAGAACGAAGAGTAAAATTGATTTTATTTTATCGCATGTACTTATATACTGATGACTACAAATGATAAGCGTCGTCTGTCTGTACTTGACACCTATTTCAATGTCCCTACTATAGACAACAAAAAAAAAAGAAAGAAAGAAATGTATGAATATTGAAGAGAGAAGACAAGATCGTCTCAGTAAACTAATTAGGCTGACCAAGGTGTGAGGTTAGACTCTTTTTCTCTAGTTATTCTCATAATGCAAACAATTGAGACGGGTCAATACTAATGAGAATGCCAATCAATTAGTGCTTATAGGTTCAAACAATATGATACTTGTTATCACAAAAAAAAATAACCTCCAATTACCTAGACATATATATGACAAACGATGAACTAGCTTTTTTTTTCTGTCTCGGATAGTTATCTAGTCATATCATCTCTTTGATCACGAGACATACTAAAAGATATGTGATCTGATTTCTTCATGTCTCGCTCCTTTACTCTCTTTATATATATATTACTCATTCATATTTTTGCCTAAGGATATAGTTCGTACAAAAAACACACGTTTTATTGTATTGTTCGTAGTTATTATCCAGAAAAAAAAGGATGGGTCAACTTACTTTTCATCAACATTTGATGTAAATGAGACAAGTGCATTGTTGCACGCAATCGACTGATTCTTATTACTTACACATATATATATATATATGTATATAGTGAGAAAGAGCAAAGTTGTCATATTCTCTTTTTTTTCCTGTTAGATTACGTATGGGAAAGTGTATTAGGTAATCAATATATGCACATCGTCTTGATTAACGATGGGGGTCAGTAGTACCCTATTGTCCAGTGAGAATGCCTCGAGAGACAGTTGGCACCAATACTACTATTCACATAGCGTCTGTCATGCAGAGAATATGGATGATTTCCGTGTTACTAATCAGCAGCGAAGGAGACAAAAAACGGAAGTATGCTTTAAAAAGGAAAAGAACGAAGACAATAGTTGAGTTCAAAAAAAAGAAAAGAAAAGACATATATCAATATAGTTTTAATTTGATTGAGCTTATAGACTAATGTAATAGGAAAGGAGTAAAATGATTGAGATTTCTAACTTTTCTTTTGAACACCTGCAGAAAAGAGAAAAAAAATACTTTTTTTTCTTTTTTTTTTCTTTTTTTTGTTTCTCTCAGCATGCGCATTTGCTAAAAAAATGATTCTGTCTTAATCATGATAAGTTAACATTCATTCCGTCTGTACTTCATTTTAAAAAGATCATGACATTTTATTCGATTAAATATGAGTCTAATTATTATTACATTTAAAATTGATATCATGTCTATATTATTCAATCAACTTTTTTTTTTCATAAATACTTTTGATCCTTATTAACACTCTTTATTGATTGTATTACCATTTATTGGTTTGAATCTAAATCATAAAAATCAACAAGATGTTGCCTTTATTATATTCATGTAAATGAAGTGAACACGATGACATTCTCAAGAGTAGTCATATATATGGCACTACGATAGATGATGGTGACAAGAAAGAAGTACTTAAAAATATTCTACAAGCATGTATATAGGTGTATATGAAGTATTGATACGATTATTTCTAATCAATTTTCTTTTTCTCTATCGTATACGTGTGAAGTTGTTTAATGTTGTGTATATTAAATGGATAGCGATCAAACATTGAATGCACGAATGTATTATCGATTATGATGGAAACATATTTTTTAATGAATTAATTGAAAGATTGTATGTCACATAAATGTCACGAAATTGAAAAATCTTAGATAAAACAACCTCATTAAATTCAAATAAAGCCTATTGAGTATATGATTAGACTCAATAAACTATATGGCAAAGCTACGTTTCTTCGTCATCTTTTAAAATGTGATAGAACAATAGTTATTACAGTTGATTAGAGCCCTTTGGGATGGGTTCAATAGTTTTGGATCTGATAGAATCTACTTATTTGAGACATGTGCAGGGTGTGCATTTCATAGAATAGAAAAAAATCGGAAAAAAGTATCCCGTATCTTCGGAGCGACTATTTGACTTCGATTAGACAACTTCATTCTAAATATTACAGTACGGTTTGATCGAATTCGAAAAAGTTTAATCAAACAAGTCTGGA